AGGCTACCGCGCGGGGTTCGGCACTTGTGGTTTACCGTAGTCACGTACCAGCACGGACAGTGTCAACCTTCGCATTTCTCGCTAGGTAGACCTAGGGATGCTGGGCCCAACAGGTTTTTGGGCCGTTCTCCTGCCGGGTTGGTCCCCTTCTGTGTTTCTGTCCCCCTGTAGTTCTCCAGTCGTTTTGAGGAGCTACAGCCCATCCGCTGAAGTCACCAGCCATCTGGGATGCTCCCTGAACTTTTGCACTCCCAGTCAGAAGCGCACACACACCGCCACATCCGTCTGTTGCGGATCTGCACACAGGAGTGCTATGCTATCCGGGCAGCCTCTTTGCATTTTTAGAGTGGGATGTTCGTGCTGTGCACAAGACACAAACGATTCGGACAGTGTGCAGGAGCAGTATGTCACATTTTATTAAGGTTCTTTTAAAATTTCTTCATAGAAGGGTACAGTTTTTAGGCCGAGTATAACATTCAGTATTTCCTAAGTATGTAACAAAGGATAGCTGCTGGTACAGAACTGAAAGCCTAGTGGGATGTGGAGTCTCACACTGCACTGATTGTATTCTCTAGGTGTTCACTGTTGAAGACATGATGCCCCACGTCCAACACATGAAAGGAGGTCACAGTAAAAACCTGTTTCTTAAAGACAAGAAGAAGAAAGGGTTCTGGCTGGTGACTGTTCTGCACAACAGGCAAGTCAATTTAAATGATCTTGCTAAAAAACTGGGCGTTGGAAGTGGAAACCTAAGATTTGCCGATGAAAACGCCATGCTGGAAAAACTAAAAGTGGGCCAGGGCTGTGCAACGCCTCTAGCCCTCTTCTGTGACCAGGGAGATGTTAGGTTTGTGCTGGATGCTGGCTTTCTGGAAGGCGGCCACGAAAAGGTGTATTTTCACCCAATGACAAATTCTGCAACCATGGGCTTAAGCCCTGATGACTTTTTGAAGTTCGTGAGATCAACAGGCCATGATCCCATCATCATCCATTTTGAGCAGGACATTCAGTAGATGAAGTTCACCGTTACTGGGCGTATATTTTGTAAAGCGAAAGAGCAAAACTGGTGAAAGTCTTATTACAAATAAAATTTGACAAAACAGGCTTACTCCTTTAAGTTTATGTTGTATCATCTGGGGAGAAAAAAATACTGTATTTGGGTTATTATAACAGAATATGCTTAAAAGGAGATGTTTGCAATCTACCTCTGAGTAACCAGTAAGTAGAAAAGTCATTATTTAAATAATGTTATACCATTTATGAATAGAACGGGTAAAACTGGGACTTTCTGTGCGTGGTACTGGCCATGAGGGTTTAAACTTAAAACGCCAACATTGGGAAATAACCAGTTAACTTAAAAGTTCTGAAATACCTGTCAATACACACAAGGCAGCGATGTCTACGTTGCGTACCCATTCGTCCCCTACCACACCTTGCGTTCTCTTTATTATTTTACCTAGAAAAATACCAACTTGCCTACACTACAGAAAACCCATTTGATTGTCTGCATTTGTAGTTGCGTTTTCAGTTTCACGGCATCCTCCCCTCTGGAAATTATTAAGTCTCCTGGCAATTTCCCCAGTAAGAGGGGTGCAACCACGTCAAGAGCCTCTCCAAAACCAGAACACGAGACAGCCCTCTGGCAGCCGCGGCACCAGCCTCGCTCCGGGCAGAGGAGCTGGACCAGGGGCAGTATATCTAGAAAAGTGTCTGCTGTCACAAGACCGGTACATTCTCAACCTTACATTCCTCCTCTGATTCCTTCTCCTCTCCTGCCTACCTGGCTAAAACCCCCTTCAAGCAGATTTTGTCTTGAAGAAGCAGCACAACCGTGAAGTCCAGGAAACATCCTGTGGCAATGAGTACCCCCAAAACCCAAAACCCAAAGGCAGGGAGGAGTGCAAGCGAGGGCTGAAATCTGGAGATGACGGGGAAAAGGGCTTCTGAAGACAGTCAGAGGGAAGTGTCACGTACAAACTGCCTCGAAGGCAAGCGGTAGTGTCAGCACAAGCTGAGAATAAACGGAGCAATACACAGGAGTGAAGAAAAAGACCCTCAAAGGACTTGTGGTGTTGGATGAGTAGCTGAAGGACACAATGCTCCGTGATAAAGGGAAACGCTTCAAAAGAAACGCCAGGCAAAGCCCTGCCAGTATGACCCCATTTCATTCTAGATGGCCAAAACAGTTCTGTGAGCCGAGAATGTCGTCAGCATTTAGGTGATGGATTGGGCTTCATTTTTCCCCTGCCATAAGGAGGTGAAATCCTTAATTCTGCAGAACAAACTACCATTAACTGAGTAAGACAGAGCATCTTCTAGGGAAAGCAAGTTACCAGCACACATCCTTACCAAAGTCTCCTCCATTTCCAAAGGATTTGGCACCGGTTCTGAGAGATGTGAGCTTAACGACAGAGCGCTTCACGATACAGCTGTTTGATCTGCACCCCGCACTCCCTCGGAAAGGCACAAACCAACCCCATCTGTCATGGCAGCCATCTCAGAGGGGGAAGGAGTGACCCAGAAACGTTGATGCTGTAGGAAGAGTCACTAGAAGGATGTCCAGACACGTGTGATTTTGTGTTTGTTGTTCAATAAGACTGAAAGGATTGTGTGGTATTTGGGAACATTGAGTTGATTAATGAACTCTGGATTCACGGAATCCCAGAACGGTTTGGGTTGG